CTCCTGTTATAAATTCCCTTCAACTGAGCTGCAATAAAGACAGTAGAAGACCAAGTATATCCAATTACACGCTTGACTGGGGTACCTTAATTTCTGCTGCTTTAAATAAAATTGAATGAGCCTCCACACATTGTCTCCCAGGCGTGCTCCATGGATCCTGTGCCGCCTTACATTGCTACTGCAGGAAAGAAGGTACTTTTGTGACTCCAACTCTCACTGTGCAAAAGACTTTTTCCTACGTCAAAGCCAAGAAAATTAATTTTTTAGGCCTGTTCATGGGATGGAGCAGATGTACAAGAAAAACTACACAAAGGAATAATTTTCTTCTGGAAAGCCAAGCGTTACCCAAGCAATTCAACCTTATTATGCAACCCTCCTCTTCTTCACACAGATGACTTGCAGAGCAAGTTTTGCTATTTGCCTTTCTTTACACAGAGATGTGTTTGTGGGTGAAAATCTTAAGGAGGATTAAAGGCGACTTAAACCAGTCCAAATAGGAAACACATGCCAAAAAACCTGCTCTCCTTGACAATATCAAATAGGGAAGAGGAAGTGATGGACAGAAGGAACAGTCTCTGTGAGAGGCCTGTCAACAGAGTTCTTTTTCTGCCTTTGCTAGGATTTCAACGGAAGACAAAACATTTCTCTATTTTTGCACAGAAAGACCACATTGCATTTCCCTTTCCTCAGGAACCCTTAGCAAGCACCAAGCCCAAGGGAAGACAGAAACATTTGACAGAGTCCTATCCCTATTTTAGGCAGAGGCAACAGAGCAGCATGTAAATCTCTGCAACGATGAGGATTCTCCAGCAGAGAAAGCAAAGATAAAAATAGTCATCTTCCCTTTGGGCATGCAAAGTTATCTTGTTAACCTCTAGTAAACACAGCTTCAGGCTTCTAGATGCTGAAAAAGTGCTGAACGAGCTCCAAGGGCATCCACCCCTCCCTGAAGAACTACAATGTCAACAAGTGAAGACTGCACAGTGCCACTGTCTCCTATTGCACAACTACGCATGACCTTGGCACAGTCCAACGCACATCCTACCATAAACCATGACATATACTTGATTGTCATGTTCAGGAAGGCAAGTACCTGCATCCTAGGGGGGCTTTGGAAGCAGAGAGAAAGTGGTATTGTCATCATTATAAGTTTCCATACAGCACTGGAGGCATGGCTGTATTCATCCCTGGGCCAGAAAGCAAGCAACCATTCCCATTTCTTCAGTGCCAGAGGAATGAAACACTCTTAACTCTCCCTTTTAAATGTTGTTATTCAGAAGGAGCTTTCATAGTCTGACCAGGAATAGCCATAGGTGGCTATCTAAAGACTAAGAAAGTGTCTTGTTGCTTTTTATAAAAAAAAAAAAAAAAAAACACACAACACCCCCTCCCCCCCCCAAACCCCACAAAAAAACTACAAAAAACCCAAACAAACAAGAAAAAAGTGCTCAGGAGTTAACCCCAAAGCTTGTGATTCTGTCAGAAACCCATATTCTGATTCTCCATGCTTAAACAGTGATGGGTTTTTTCCCCCCCAAAAATTTACCAGTAACAGCATAGGCAAGAGCAGTAAGAACTCAGAATGACTACATGGACTACTTCTGGCACCAAAGCTGGATTTTTACAGCACTTACTCTGCAACATTTACAAGAATTAATTGCTCACTTGAACGTTTACAGAAGCTCCTTACATGCCATTGCAGGCAAACCGCAAATTCATATTTATATAACAGCAAAATGCTTGGCACATGCCTGTGTCTTTTGCAGGTCATGCAATCAATTCCATTCCTTCTTAAGTACTTCTAAGGGCTTTTAAGTATGTTGGATATTTTTTTTCTTCTTGTGCTTAACTAAACTGGGAATGTTTACTAATTTCAGTCCTGCTTGGTAAACTAAGGCCCTCAAGATTCCAAATCACTTCTTACTCTGAGAGTTCCCTCCTAAACTGAGCCTTTTCTCAGCACAAATCAACGTTGTTGCTCGAAACTCATGATACATAACTCTCCCTCTCGGTCATCGCTACTTTTTTGGGGCGGAGAGGGGAGGGTGGGCTGCCAGGTCCTTGGAACAGGCTGTGTTCCTCATGATTGTTTTAAGCAGACTTAGGGTCAGGCTGCCACCACAGAAAAAAAAACCTGGATTCCCCACTCTGGTCCCCAGCTGTGCTTTCCTGCCCGTGTCTTCCCTTGCACCCCCTGGGCAGCAGGTACATGGCACTGGGGAACTGAGATTGCCAAATTTATTTCAGACAGGTCAATTCAGCACAGCTTCTGCTCTGGACCACTGTGTGGTTGCAGGGACTGCTACATTTTGCAGCAATCCTCACTTATCTTGAAGTCAGTTATTCACACTGACATCGGTGTTTAATTTCACTCCTCCCCTCCAAAGGATCGCTCCGCTTCTGCTAGCTCTACAACACTTAAATGAAAGACACTATATCCCCATTCTTTACTGCCTGAGGTAGTCACCTATGCAGTATCAAAAATGAAAACTATAAAACATTATTTAAAATATGTATTACAAGGATATAAACAATCACCTTCTCATTATGGCCTTGGGAAGTTCAGAATTGTTTCAAAATGCAAACATCCCCTCTGAACATCTTTTGAGAAACCAGCTTTTGTTGAAACTTCGTTTGGAGTTTCAACCACAAAAAAATGACAAGTTGTGTTAGCCCGATACTACCGTACGTCACACTAAGGTTAATCCTCCACTTCAGCTCCCTGCTGTGCAAAGACTCCAGGTGTGCTTCAGAACTGCCCCTCAAGAGTCCTCCTGACCGAACAAACACACTGGAATCAGTTGTTGTACAAAAGTATGCAGCCACACACATACCAGTGCTGGTATTTTCTGAACTGCCTTTTATCCAGAGAGAGACAGGTCTCACTCCATTCTTTTCCCCTCATGTTTCATTAGATCAGCTACAGATTTTGCTTTAGCCTGGCTGCAAATTCTGTTTTGACTAAATGCATCTTTAGACACTCCCTATTCCACTTCAGTTATACAAACACCCTCCGACCTAGCCCTCACAGCATAGTCACAACAAGAAACTATTTCCTGCCCCTCCAACCTGTTGAGATATTTTTAGTTGAAATTGAATGCACATACCTGTGGCAGGTGAGGCACCAGTGAGAATGTGGGTGTGGCGAGACCTTTGCTTTTCTAGTGCCAAGTGCTTCTACAGCTTGTCATTCCACATCAAGGGAGGTGGCCAGCTGTCTAGGAGTCACTCCTCTCAAAGAGGCTCTGCACCCTTTTCCAAGGACCAGCTCTACTTCTCTGTTACTCCTGCAACTGCAGAGGAGGGATACAGAACCTTTGATCCCATCAAGGGACAGGACCGATCCCCTTGGCTGTTGCAGCCTTCCACAAAGGAAAGAATACAGAGATACACCATCAATTAAAGAAAGCCTCATACTACTTCTGAAAAGAATGGCCATGCCCTACCCCCTCCAGCAGTAAAACTGCCCTTCACACCACTTTACAAAATTGGTTCAGGACTGACTCTCATGCCACCCGTTACATAGCCAGGAATAACACTAAGAGGTCTTCCAGAGACCCAGGAGCCTCAGAGATTTAATCTTCATTTGCGCATAGTGGGACCAACCCTGTCCTGCTTGTAAAGCGTAAAAAATTTTGTTCAAGCATCCAGCAGGACAGAAGACCAATCGGGAAAGTTCACTTGCTCCATGGGGAATGAACATTTGCATCTCCACCCATATACTCAATCGTTTTATTCTCTCTGGTGCATTCTAGGGCTGTTTCCTCTTACCTGTGGGGATCCCGACCACAGAATTAAGGTGTTCTTGTTACTGGGCTTCCACCTCTGCCCTTCTGCACTAGGACCCACGGAAGACACACACTCTCTTCCTGCTTTGTAAAAATGCTCTTAGCAGTCAAAATACTCAAGATCTGTACCCTTACTGATCTGCCACTGATCTTACACTGCGTTGCAGCTATCAAACTTGAAGGTATTTGGGAGATTTGAGTAAATTGCTACTAAAAAAAAAAAAAAAAAGGACAAAGAACGAACACTGGCACTCTCCTCACACTAGACAGTATGTTTGTTCCTCATGAAGACAACAGAGCTGTTTTAAATAAAAAAAGGAATAACATGTTCCCCTTACATTTTAATCACGCCATATTTTTTGTAATTTTGCAAAGTGCGCTGCCCCAAATAAATGTATAAAAGTATTCTGACTACTATACACGTGCATATTAGATTTATGTTGACACTATGAAGTAACCATTGTGCTCATCTTGACTACTGCAGTAGTTTCTTCTTTCCATTTAGATCTAAAAAAGATTCTTTTGAATATTGTTTCTCATGTAGCAGAAAAATCTAGTTTATGAGTGGTTTGACTGGACATCAAATTTTCACGTTAAGTCATCAGGAAGGAGCTTCTAATCCTTCTCTGCCCACCAGCAGAAATGATCAGCGTGAAAATTTCTGTTGCCAGTGGGAACTAGCAGTAACCTTCTGGTTTGATATGAAGATAAGTACTTTTATCCCATTCTTGCAAGAGTCTACTTATACAGCACCGAACTGTGTCCAAAACAAAGAAATAAACAGGGAAACACAGAAAGAGCCTCTATGCTACCGGCTCTTCTTCACCACCCAGCTCGTGAGCTGCTTTCCTATGTAAATACTACCCTCTTGTGTTGGTTTGTAAGTACTACAAGAATCAGCCACAAAAAACAACCCCACACACCAAAACCCAGACCTTTCTTTGACCTTGTCAGTCATTACAGATTCTGGATCAAATTTCAGGCAGTGAATAGCCTAATCCTGCTGCAACAGGTCCTCTCTGTGCTGGGCCACTCTTCAGCTGACACATCTAAGGTATTGATGTCACATCTGAATCGCTAAGATTGACCTCAGAATAAAACCTTCTGGCAGAGCCGATACTCAAGATAAGCAGAACAGGTCAGCAATAAGACAAGGAAAACCAGGCAGCTTTAAAATTAAGCCAAATATATTTGGAGTTTTCCACATTGCATATCCTTTCACAAAGGCAAGGACAACACAGCTATGCTGTGGGAGCTCAGCTGCTTCTTTTAACTTTTTCCTCTCTTTCTTCCGATAGACCTATGTGACCCCAGATGCACTCTGTTTGGGTAGCGAGACAGGCTGCAGCAGTGGAAAGTTGCACTCACTCTGCACCTCTGTGAATGAGCAGGGCCAGACCACAGCTGCTTTCAGGTCCAGAGGTGATGGTCTGGTGTCTCTGAAAGGAAGACTGGTCCAACAGTACCACCAAAGCCCAGCTCAGTCTGTAACTGGTGAAGCAGAAGAGAAGTTGTTTTCCAGGTGGACTGCCCAATTCCATAAGTAGTTCTGAAAAAAATTCACTGGAGATGGCTTGGTAGACTGTTTTTGCCGAGCTCATGTAGCCATAAAGAGAAAAATAAAAAAGTCTGTCCAAATACTGAACTAGAAAGCTTTCCTTTTCTTCTTTTTCCCACCCGTCACCTTATTCCTGACACCAATAGCTTCTTCTGTGTCATCATCATTATCATTCCGAGACCGTTTCTTCTCTCCCTGCTCCCGCAGCTCCTACAATGCAATCAAGAGATTGACCAAGAGTTCTGGCACCTGAGGAAATTCAGACTACAACAGCATGTAGAGGGACAAAAAGCCAGCACCCACCATTCGAGCAAATCTCTGGGCCTCAGCCACACGCTCTGTCAGCATCATAACTTCTTCCTCTTGCATGGGAAATGCTGGCAGCTTCTTGCCAATCAGGTGTTCAATGCGCTGGAACAGCTCTACATCATACCTGAGAAAAGCCAAGACACCATCTTGAATCATACCTCCTGAGAGTGCTTCAGCTGTCACCACCCACAGACATCACCCCTTATCTCCAGCCCACAGATACTGGTGCTGATGGTCTCACAAGCAACTCTTAATTGTATCCAAATGATGCCATTGTTTGGGACAACTTCACTATTTATTCAGCTCATCTTTGTTCAGAAGTATTTGGCAAAGATTTTTTTTTTTTTTAGACAAATACTTCAGTATTTATCAAAGACTCACACTTACTTAACTTGCATTACATATTATAAAAACGTGTGTGTATTACACAACCTAGTTATAAACAGTTCTGCTCATTACACGCCTGCTTTTAGAATTTATCCTAGGCCTTTCTCCCTCCCCACCCTGGACTTTGAATTCTTTCCCTTCTCACTAAATAAATCCAAGTGGCACCTCAAAATGAAAAGTAGTATTTTCTTCTCACCCAGGATGAGGTCAGATGTTTTCTGCTCTGAAACACAGCTGGGAAGAATAAGTCTGCCACATTTTAACACTTACTGTGTGACAAAGGTGATAGATTTGCCAGATCTCCCAGCTCGAGCTGTTCTCCCAACACGATGAATGTAATCCTGAAAACAATTTTCTTTATAAGCAATAAGTTATGTGCATCAAACACAGAACAGAAGTTATGGGAAATCATCCCTTATAATTTTTCTTTAGGAAAGAACAAAAAGGGGAGAAAATACAGCCAGGACCGTATGCAGCATTAAGGTTTGAGAAGATACTGGCTTGTGGAGGCATATCTTTGGTTTTAACATTTGAATTCTTCTCTTTCCGAAGGAGAAGACCACCTTCAATTATCAAAGACAGCAGAACAAAGGTGGTGATATATGACTTTGCTAATGAACTACCACTTCCTTGGATAGCTAACATTTGAAGTGAGCCAATGCCTGCATTTTCTGTTTTGGAATCTTGTGCTCTACATAGCCTGTCTTCCAGACAAGCTCTCTGGCAAGTAGATTTAAGTTTGGCAAGCACAGTGAAAGGGAGGATGAATGAGAACAATTTGGAAGCGTCTGATCTATTGACCGTCTTCTGTTTTTATGGTTCTAGGCTGTTTTCCAGGTTTTATACTGCATTATGGAAATTAAAATACTCCCTTCTCCCTGCAGAATCTGTGGAGAAAGGAAGCATCATGAGAAAGGATGTCCTCTGTGACATGGTTAGACAAGAGGGAGGGGCACAAAAACTGTGACAATGTAATTCAAGCTGCTGCTCCCACCATTTTTTTTAACTTTTGCCCTTTTATAATGTCAAAAGCAGCATCTTCAAAAGCACCACCATAGTTTCTTCTGTTTGCAATTTGTAGTATCTTTGACTATTATCATAGAATGGTTTAGGTTGGAAGGGACCTTAAAGACCATCTAGTTCCAACCCCCCTGGTGGTAGCCATGGGCAGGGCCACATCCCACTAGACCAGGTTGCTCAAAGCCCAATCTAGCCTGATCTTGAACACTTCAAGAGATGGGGCATCCAAAACTTCTGTGGGCAACCTGTTCCAGTGCCTCACAGTAAAGAATTTCTTCCTGATATCTAATCTAAATCTACCCTCTTCCAGTTTGAAGCCATTACCCCTCAACAGTAGCAATTCCTGAAATGCACGTTAATGGTATGCTTTCTGAAACTAGGCTGGGAAACAAAGTCACACCCCTAATATAATACTATACTTTCTGTAAGTTAGAGAGTTAGTAACTCATTTTTCAGTTTGCTGTACTTTTGTTATATGAAGTGAAACATATTAAAGACATCTTTCTTGATCAAATCCTCATTGAGCATAATTGGGGAATTTTTACTTTTTTTTTTTTGTTTTCAACACAGTTTAAAATGCGAAGTCAGACCTGGATCACAGGAACAGAGATGACTACCTGAAACTAGCAATATGTTAAAACTATTCTCAATGTCTAGAAGCCCTTTAATGTAATATGGCAAAACACACACTCTGAGCAGAAATACAAAGACACGGAACGTCCCTCACTTCCCCTCTTCAGTTCTGGGATCAGTTCTACAATCCAGATGAAGCCACCCAACCAAACTGAGAAACCAACTCAATTGCAGAGGCTGAACCACATCTTTCAACCTACAGAAACGTGAACTAGACTTCCTGTCAGCAGAACAGAGAAAACGTGTCTCTGTTTCTTTGTCTAGCTTCACTACGCCTCCCCGTAACCAGAAGCTCTCAGCTGGCACACAGACTAGCTTACCTTAGAGTGCGTAGGAATATCAAAGTTTATCACCACATCTACATGTGGGATGTCCAGACCTCTGCTTGCAACATCAGTAGCCAGCAGAATAGAACGCGCCTTTGCCTTGAATTTGTTTAGAGAGCCCAGGCGTTTATTCTGGAAGAGAGGAGAACAAAGAGGGAATGAGAGAATAATGCTCGTTCTGGTTCGTGTGCTCTAGCTGAAATATCGGTACAGAAGAACTGGGGGAGAAACCACTCAAAAATCTCACTTCTCTAATTTCTTTTTGAACTATTACAGAATCAGTGGCAGCATTCACATTAGTTAAATTTCTAGTGATCAGTCCAGTCCACAAGCTGTGAAATACTTTTCCTGCAAGGTACAACTACCAAGGTAGTTGTGACTCAGTATGGTGCAGCACATTTCCCAAACAACAGGTCTCCTGTCTACTCTGTTCTGTGGGGTATGCCCATACCTGACTCATCTGCCCATGGAGAGGAATGGCAGTGAACCCCAGGTTGCGGAGCAGTAGAGCAGTCCTCTGAGTATTGTTACACGTACTACAAAATATCATGAAAGAGTTTCCAGCTAGTTCATTCAAGATATAAACAAGGTAGCTGTCCTGTAAAGAAACAGATAGAGAAGGAAAAAAAAAAAAAAAATGATTGCATATGCCACATTAATGAGTAAGTATAAGCCAGAGAAGATGACAAGATATTGGGCAGATGTGGGAACAGCAAGACAAGACACAATGAGATGAGGGAAGAAACAGAAGTAGCATTACCTTGAATTTGGAGGGGATGAAAATGTAGTATTGCTGCAGTTTTTCAACTGTCTGATATTTGGAAGAAACAGCACATTTAACAGGATTCTTCAGAGCAGCACGCTGGAGTTTTTGAACCTGAGAAGATCAATGTAAGTTAGTACTAGATGGACAGAGATCCTGTCAGAAACCTGTATCATACAGTCTAGTCAACAGTACAGCCTGATGGAAGGAAAACTAAAGCAGAGTACTCTGCTCTCACCTTCTTGGTCATGGTAGCAGAAAACAGGAATGTCTTCCTGTCTCGAGGAATCACTTTTAGTATCTTATCCACCTGTAAAAACAAAAAGGAAATGGAAACGCTGAATACAACAGCAATCAAGACATAAGCCTCCTCCAAATATAATGATCATCAAGAGTAATACACATGCCCAACTTAAGACTCCCAGTAGGAACAAATTTCCCCTCTTCTAAAGGGAAGGTGTAGGGTGATAGCTTGACAATTAGGCAGTTTAAATTCCAGAAGTCCAATAGCAGTGCAAATATCAGGCAATACTCCCACAGAAACATGCATGTGATCATGTTCTATAGTAACTGCATCAGTATCAGGTGCTCGAGATAAACTAGTAGATTTCAGAGACAAAAATGCCTTCTACTACCTTGTTCTACATAACTCTGCTAAATTCTACTGCCACCATAGACTTCTGTACAATTATTAGATCTTAGTTACAATTTGCTATTAATCTCCCGGTGTTTACTGTGTGACTGTAGGAAGCGATTTTAAGGAACTTATCTGGTGTTCCAAACTCTTCTTTTAGCAGATTCCTACCTCTGTCTCAAAATCCATGTTAAGGATCCGGTCAGCCTCATCCATCACTAGGAACTTCAGAGCTCGTAAATTGAAACCCTTTGTGTTCTCCAGATGGTCAACTAGACGTCCAGGGGTAGCTACCAACAAAATCATGAGAGCAAATTTAGAATGAAAACAAACGAAAAGATCCAAAGAGCCAAGTGAGTCATCTGTTACAGAAATGGGATTCTTTGCCCAAGACAAGTAAAAGCTGATTGCTTTGTGGGAAGGGCTATTTCACAGGATATCTTCAGAGTGTTTTGAAATAAGACTAATGGAGTCAGATTCTCTGAAGAATACACTCCTTCCTCCTCTACCCCTAAAATAAAAATTAAAAAAAAGTAGTGCAAAACAGACTGTAGACGAGCTGTACTGAGAAGGATGAGACGAGCATTTTGAATACTTGAGGAGAATGAAAAACCAAGACAAAGGCGGTCTAGCAGAAATGCTTTGGAACAAGCTTGTGGCAGCAAGCCAGTACTCAAACTTCAGGACAAAAACAAATGAAGGATATACTCTCACTTTTCCTTCAAATGTACAAAACCTTTTGGCA